AAGATTAGTAGTGGAGAATGGGGTTCTTAAGGTACGAAGATGATTCGGTAGGACAATTTCAACTTTGTTGAAGTCATATCTGTCTACGAGTATGCTCATTTCATAGCATTTGGCAGGCCGTGTGGCCTCACAGTGGGCACTACCAACCCACAGAAGAGAACTTCGAGGAGTTCATGACCTTTCTTCAAGAAATCGGCATCGATCTAACTGATGTTAGGGTGAGCACATCACTCGTCGATCACATTGAGATTGTTCCCTTTTAAGATTCCAGTATGATACCTTGGAACCACATCTTTTTGCATTTCTACAGAGAAGTCCCACCGAAGGCGATGATTTGCCCTGGAGAGGTCACAGAAGCAGCTATTCCGACATAAACTTGCCTGATGACATCACCATCGACCCTCAACCTGAAGAACAATTGTCTCATGCATCTACTGGAGAGATAAGCAACGATGCAAGAACTGGCTCTTCGAATGACGACCTGCAGCGCAAGGGAGTCCTCAGGGACACCACAGAAGAAGCAGGCGAGGAGACAAATAACCCGAGAGAGTCAAAGAGTATCAGTTCGGAGGAAGAAAAACCTGAAGGATGCGAACGAGACTTCTCTGACGCCGCACAACAAAAGGAGGAAGAAACATCCATACCGTCGGAGCTGATCCTTCGTAGGATCAACTCAAAGAAAGGCCTGAAGTCGTATCAGCTGGGGAAGCAGCTATCCTTTAAGTGGGCAACAGGCACAGGGCCGCGGATCGCCTGCGTGAGGGACTATCCACCCGAGCTTCAGTGCCGTGCTCTCGAACAAGTAAATCTGTCGCCACGAACTGCTGCGACTTCTAGATTTGCGTCTCCTCGTACTACTGCCAGCCAAAGCCCAAAGATGTCAAACTGAGCGGTTGACTTCGTAGAGAGATCAGGCGAATTCATTTCCTAGGCATCGTATAGGAATTCTTTATTCAAAATGTATCGACTTTTGATAGATCAACAGAAGCCAAAAAAATACCATCCGTTTCTACAGATGCTGCTACGGTGTGATTTGACATCTGGGTTGATACAATGAGAATTCAAGAAAAGAGCACCGGTAGGTGTTACCATGGGACGTGAGATCGTCCGCCGTCGCTGGCGAAGCGTGAGAGATTTGGAGGAAGGGAAGGAGTGGCTCAGCGGGGAGCGTCTCCTCACCTCCACCTGTCTTCGGCGCCGCTCGGCTGGAAGCCACGCATCGCCGTCGTTATCCAGATCGATTTAATCGGGGTCTCGTGTGGGGAACACCGGGAGCTGTGTCAGCCAGATCAGGGCATACGGTAACGAAGAACCTTCCGTCATGGGAGACCACGTTCTTGACTCCTCTGGTTCAAGCACGAATCTTAAATCCGTCAATTGGTTATTTACTCTTTCGTGCATCTCAACGAACCGCGGACGCGGATCACACCCAGCGTATAACAGAGGATCCGAAACACGCATCTTAAGTCCATGAATCAAGTAATTCGTGAATCTCAAAAATCAGCGACCGTTGGATCACATGCAACGCATAATGGATCGGAAACCCTCCCCGAAAACAAGTTAAGATCTGTCCATTGAGAACGAGTTATGATTCGTGTTCGAACGCAACCGCCGTGATCACATGTGACCCACCTTTTTGAAACGATAGAGATGATTGCACGTGGACGCGACCGTCCGTGCAAAAGAAAATGAGTAGACAAGAATAGGTGGACGTACGTCTCTCGGATTAAATACTTTTTCATCACAGCGGCACGATCAAAGAATCCGACGGCCGAGAGTGTCGCGTTCAAATGAAGCCGAATGGGGTGGGAAACGGAAATCTGTGAACCGTTTAGGGTTCGCTTTTGAAATCTACAGCGGCCAGTTCTCCACATTTCGCTTTCGTGCTCGTCCTTCCGCTTTTAGAAGTGATCTTATGGTGGGTTTCCGATCCGTTTCCTCTGTTATTCTTCTATTAGCTGCAGACTGGGGGGTATATGTTTGCATTTCTGATCTCTGCTATCATTTGCAGGCATTGTCTAACCAGCAAACTGTCGATTTCCCGAGCTTTAAACTCGTTCTCGTTGGTGATGGAGGAACTGGTGAAATTTTCTGTTCTCTGTCTCCTTTTATATATTTTCCCCTTTGCCTTTTGATTTATTGAGCACAAATGAGGTCCTTTGTACTTGTTGTCATTGCTAGAAATGATGGTCTTTCTGCTTCAATCAGTCGCCTTGACATATCGGAACTCGTTTTCGTGTTCTTTTTTTTTTTAATATTTTTCTGCATGAAATTCCTGATGTTTTTGGCTTTTTCGAGCGACGTGGCTGGAATTTATTGCTAATCCTGTTGGTATGAGTGCCTATAAAATTTGATGTACTTTTTTGTATTCGCTTTTAGTTAATCACTGTGTATAACATTGATCAGATTGTAAACTGTGACTCGAGAATTAGCAGGAAACTATCTCTCCCATTTGTTGATAGTAATGAAACAAATAAATGTTCTTTTTGATTCATAGTCTTCGCTTCCCTTAACAGCGATATAAAAAATCTTGCATCTTTCTGTAAGAAACAATTGATTCTTATATCTCTGCTTTTGCACGTAATCCTATGCTTTGCTTATGCTATGCACAGGGAAAACTACTTTTGTGAAGAGGCATCTTACTGGTGAATTTGAGAAGAAGTATGAGCGTGAGTATCATGGCAAATTATCAGACGTTCTTATTTGTTTTGGTTGCTGATTCTGTATAAAAATGTCTTGGATTTTTTTAGCTACCATTGGTGTTGAGGTCCATCCGTTGGATTTCTTTACAAACTGTGGGAAGATCAGATTCAATTGCTGGGACACAGCTGGCCAAGAGAAATTTGGTGGTCTCAGGGATGGATACTAGTATGTCGTGGGCCCTTCTATTTTTAGTTTGATCGTAATGCGTTCACGGATGTGCTTTCTAAGTCAATAGCTGTATTGCACTCGTTGCTGTTTCTATTTTCAAAAAGACAGATCTTATGGTATTTCTTTTATTAGTTAGCCCACGTTGAATGCTCAATTACTTCCTAAGCTGTTAGCTTAGCCCACATTGTTTAAACTTTAAAGTGCCCAATTCTGGTTCATTAGCCGATACAAAGACTTACAAATAATACTGTTACTTTTGTGATGCACGACTTTTCTGACTCTTTGGAAGCTCAGTTATTTGTGCTGGATATTTATAATGTGTGTTTTGGAGTAACATCATTTTCTTCAACTTTTTGTGGGCTCCTTTTTTCTAAAATCTATTTGAGATGGAGGAAAAATAAATTGTTAATGTAGAACTTTAAAGATTAATGAATAGGTACCATGATTTTGAGAAGGCAATAGGGGACACAGGTCTTGGTCTATGATAGTCGAGAATAAGAAGAGAATTTTTGCATGAGCAGAAGGCTAATTAAGTTTGACATCACATAGATGTGACATCATTGCAAAATTATTTGAGATCTCTTACATTATTGCTTATGTGCAAACCAGATTAGCAGAAGCATTGGAAATCAGTTAATGTTTTGAATTTGTTATGGGAATTGATCATAATGCCAAGGATCATTAGTAGTCAAATAGAATTAAATACGTTGTAATACAAGCTACAATGTGAATAACCAATTATATAGAGCAGAATATGTTTGATGCAATATTTTATGGGCGTCGACTAGTAAGTTTTTGGATTATGGAAACTGTGTCCTCTCATTTAAGATGATATATTGTGGTGTGGCAAGGTTGCTAATTGGATTTTTTATATAAATTTAAGTTCATATTTTTTTTGTTATTGTTTGGGAATTGCACAAAATTATTTGTCTCCTTTTAGCTGCCAATGTGATAATAAGTCACGTCCATGATTTTGAGTAATTGTCATTGCAAGGATTATTTTTGTCTTTCTTTGACTCTACAATTCATTTGTCCACAGCATTAATGGTCAATGTGCTATTATCATGTTTGATGTCACCGCCAGGTTAACATACAAAAATGTTCCGACATGGCATCGGGATCTATGCAGGTCTTTTGATGAGACACTTTGAACTAAATGAGCACAAAATTCTCCTTAGTTACACTTTAAAATGTCTAACTATCCTATTTGTCTCAAAAACCAGGGTCTGTGAGAATGTTCCTATTGTTCTCTGTGGAAACAAGGTTGATGTGAAGAACAGGCAGGTCAAAGCAAAGCAAGTTACATTCCACAGGAAGAAGAACCTTCAATACTATGAGATTTCAGCAAAGAGCAATTATAACTTTGAGAAGCCCTTCCTTTATCTTGCTAGAAAACTTGCAGGGTAAATGCATGTTATTATGGTGTAAGGATTGCATTGAGATATCCCTATAAGGTAAAACTGATGACAAATTCATTTGCAGGGACCAAAACCTTCACTTTGTTGAATCACCTGCTCTTGCGCCTCCGGAAGTCCAGATTGACCTTGCCGCCCAGCAACAGTAAGTGCAGTTGATTATTTATTATGGCTCAAATCACTTTTTGAAATCTTAATTAGATGTTTATCGGATTTGTTACTGGTTGTCACTTTCTGGATATGGTTGTTACTGGTGTTCATGGCAAGTTCAAGGCCCCACTGTGTCCATCTCTTCCTTATGCCACTTGACAATGAAGCTATCGAATGTATATGATAACATGGATCATCCATCTAACTTGCTATTTGTATGTTCCAGGCATGAAGCAGAGCTGGCTGCAGCTGCTGCCCAACCTCTTCCTGATGACGATGATGATTTATTTGAATAGAAGATCCTACTGAAAACCTTTATGCTGTGAGCAGTCCTTGTCTTGAACCATTAGAGTTATTTTAACCGTCTAGTAGATGAACTTTTGAACTTTTGATTGATGAATCCAACAAATCTTACATTTGATGTGGAGGGTGACATATACGCCAATAAATTGGTGGCAGAGTTATGATTCCTTGATGTTAAAAACACGTCTAGACATTCTCAACCCAAAGATATCAATACTAGTAGAATTTGAATGGGTATGCAGAACTCAGAGGTAAACCTATTTTGAAGGTACACAAATGATCAGCAGAAGGTGAGTGGCTTCTAAATGAACAGGTAATAATGAAAACAAAAGAAAACAAACCTTTTCATCCCTTGTATATAGACAGTCCAATTGTAATAATGCATGATCTTCTGCATGTAGGGCTTGCCTGAACAAAATATGCAAGGAGCTCAACAGTAGCAACTGGCTCTGGTATGGCTCTGCTATCTAATCTCTCATCATTAAGCATGTCTAAGCTTGAATGCTTTTCCTCCATAGTAGGTTCGTCCATGTTAAAGTCTCTATCTGATTTATTGTTCCTAATAAAATAGCTCACAGAAACATACGAGTCCAATAAATTTGGGTTCAAGAATGTAGCTTTGAGAGTAAATAGAATATTAAAAACTCAATTGTCACACTTGACATTGACAAATAAGTACCAATATGTTCTATTCAGAGGGTTAGATTATGCAAAAAATATCATGAATATCGAGCCCCTAGTAAATTTAGGAGATACTTATTTCTTAATTAATCAGTTGTAAGCTACATTGTGAGCAACCTTTTTATCGATGCAAAGTCCTAATCATTTTCTCAATTTTGTGAAGGACACGAGTAGACATTCAAGAAATACACAGTGTGTATATGAAAAACTAGGAAAACAAAATTAATAATGTGATAGAGATAAAAAAAATAGATTGAAGACAATTAATCCTTTCGTTAGTTAGGTTTATTAATTAAAAAATAGAAAAAAATATCATCAATATACATCAAACGAGAGATTCTAAATCTAGGTTTAAAATAGAAATGAACAGCTATGAAATCATAATATACACACATGAGATAAAGATCAAGCCTGATTCTTTGATCTTTCTTTAAAGATCAAGAAAGATTCTTTGTTAATAATAAAATAAAAAATTAGAGAGGAAATAAAATAAAAACTTAGGTGTAGTTTGACATTTGGTGTGTTGAGATATATAGTTTTATGAACATTATTTTAGATGGAGATTTGATCCCACAGTAAATCGGTTTAATTGAAACTAAGGCGTGCAGTCAAAGTATTCAACCGTAGTTCTCAAGCTTACTGACTCATCGTTGTGAAGATCTGCTGTACCGTGGCGAACAGGATTCAGCCTTTTCGGTGACAACCGAACCACCAACTGGCCAAAGGCTGACAAATGATGTGGGCCCATTCTGTGTTGGTTGATCGAAACCTTAACCCTGTCTGACCGCCGACAGGACAGAGTGGCTTTGTTCTTCTAACACACGGATTAGCCATCGATCCACCGCCACCCTAAGCGCTCTAATTTGCCGGAAAAGTTGCTGCGACTTCACCATCACAGTCACTTTTGAGATCTCCTCTCCACCAAACGCCACCGACCGGCTTCAAATCCTCCTTCCCCAATACCAATTCCACCAACCCCTCGCTCGAGACGGCCATGAAGGATTCAGGGAGCGACGCTTCGGCGGCGGCGGCGGAGCGGGAGCTGCCGCTGAGCCAGAAGGCGGTCAAGGTGCTCGGGAATGTGTGCTTCTCCGCATTCGTGCTCTCCGTGCTCGTATTCACCGTCATCGCCGTCACGTACCAGCCCCCCGACCCCTGGCTCGACTCCCCCAAGGCCATCATCTCCAAGTCCCTCGCCGCCACTCTGCCAAACGCCACCTTCCGCACCGACGACTCCGTCCTCCCCACCGGTGAAGACCTGGTCCCCGTTCCGCCCCGAAATGACACCGCCGCTGATGCCGCCAACGACACAATCCCCGCCGATCCCACCAACGACACAAACCCCGCCGATCCCGTCAACAATGCCACCGCCGCCGACGGCGCCTCTGTGCTCCTTCCCTCGCTGCCGCCTCCGGCGTCGGACTGCGACGCCGACGCCCCGATCAACTGCTCCGACCCCCGCGCCCTCGTCGCCATCCGGCGCTTCAACGCCCGGGTATTCCGCCGCTCCATCGTCTTCCTCAGCTACGAGAAGCCCGTCCCTGGATCCGCCTCTGGCGAGTGCGATGCGGCCTGGCGCTTCCGAAACCGACGCGAAAAGTCCTGGCGCCGCTACAGAGACTACCGCCGCTTCCGCCTCGTGCCCGCCGACAACTGCACCTACGAGGTCGTATCCGCCGGCAAGTTCCGCTCTGGCGCAAACGCCGCCCCGAAGCCCTTGCCGTCTCGCCGGTCCTCTTCCCCCTCCTCTCCCGCCCAGATCCTTGATGCCGAGATCAATGACACCATCCCGACGCTCGGATCTGACTCCGATTTCCGGAAAGGGAAGTACCTCTACTACACCCGTGGCGGCGACTACTGCAAGGGGATGAATCAGTACTTGTGGAGCTTCCTCTGTGCCCTCGGCGAAGCCCAATTCTTGAATCGGACGTTAGTGATGGATCTCAACATTTGCCTGGCCTCCACTTACAATCCTAGTGGCCGGGATGAGGAGGGCAAGGATTTCCGATTCTACTTTGATTTCGAGCACCTCAAAGAGTCGGCGTCATTGGTGGAGGAGAGCGAGTTCTTGAGAGACTGGCGACGGTGGGAGCGCTCCTCTGGCCGGAAGACCGGTGGCAAGATCACTGTCCATAAGGTGCCAACATACAAGGTCACACCTATGCAGCTCAAGAAGGACAAGAGCACCATCATCTGGAGGCAGTTTGATGGGCCGGAGCCCGAGAATTACTGGTACCGCGTGTGTGAGGGACGAGCAGCTAAGTACATTCAGCGGCCGTGGCAAGCCATATGGAAATCCAAGCATCTGATGAACATCGTTTCACAGATTGCTGGGAGGATGGACTGGGACTACGATGCTGTCCATGTGGTCCGGGGAGAGAAGGCCAGAAACAAGGAGCTGTGGCCCAATCTAGATGCAGACACCTCGCCTGAGGCTCTAGTGCAAAAGCTTCTGAAGGTGATACGACAATGGAGGAATTTGTATATCGCTACAAATGAGCCATTCTATAACTATTTCGATAAGTTGAGGTCTCATTATAAGGTGCATTTGCTTGATGATTATAAGGAGATGTGGGGGAACACAAGTCAGTGGTATAATGAGACAATGGTTCTAAATAATGGGCGTCCCGTGGTGTTTGATGGGTACATGAGGGTGGCAGTGGACACAGAGGTGCTGTATAGGGCAAAGAATCGAGTGGAGACGTTCAATAACCTGACGAGGGACTGTAAAGATGGTATCAACACGTGCTAGCATTGGCATGAAAAAAAGGATCGGAGGCTGAAAAGCTGTGGATACTCTTCATGTTTGTGTGAGTCCTGGACAAGTACTTGTTGAAGAATTCCTCTTCTGTCCGTTTCAATTTGGAGTTCAAACATTGAACATTTTCGATCTGTATCATGTTCTATTATTTGCTTCTTTCCTGCTCTTTTGTGGTAATATATCTCTTTGTTGGTAACAGATTTATCATCTATTGGCCCCATACTATTCCATGACATGTTGAAACATTCATGTTTACCTACACTCTATTTTGTTTGATCTACTAATAACCTTGCAATGAAGCTTTTATTCTTGTTTCTTAGTCGAGTCCCTTTAGGGCAAAAACTACAAGTGATATGAAATTTGTTCCCGGACAATTAGATTGAAATTTATGCAAAACATGTTTGTCTCTCATGCAATTTAGCTCACCATATACAAGAAAGCTGATATTGGACGTGTTAAGATCATGTCTTTTTACTTCATCCAGATAGACTTTGAAGCGAATTAGATGAGGTTCTAGATAGTCATGGATGAAGTTAGGTTGCATGGTTGGGATGTCAGGTTGGGCATGGTCACATGAGTCAGCATGCCTGACCTTGCTGATGATATCTACAGTTTGACCTACAGTTTTACATGTGGATGACATACTTAAGGCATATTTCATTCCTAGTACATTGTAAAAGTGTTCTTGGCACCGGTCTTCTTGGATAGTCAGTTCCATGTGTATGTTCTGAAGTAAAAGGTGGGTAATTTGGCGTAAACAAGTGAAGTTTAAATGCTACCAGAGACAAAATGTAAAGTATCTATAGGTGAAGTTTGACACCTTAAAGGCCAGGTATCAAGCTACCTCAGATAAAAACTAGACTTGTCCTCTAAATTATAATGAACTTGGACTCATGATGCCAGGAGCACCCAGTTGTTCTCCTCGTAACCAAAATTACACTACCTAATAAAGGATTCCTTTTATTTGGGTGGAACAAGAATCCATGGGTTTCAATGAAATGAATCCCCAAGGATGTGTTGTCTCGAGTAATGTGTTACCGGATCATTCCTTCTCTTTAATGGAATAAGAATCCATAACCAGAATGGATTAAGTAATTAGTTCAATTGAAGCTTTACAAGACACATTGAAACATATTTGATGCTTGGTTGACTTACCATCTCTTCATCCACCAACCATCTGTCTAGACCTCACAAGTGGCAAAACTCAAGTTTGTTGAGTACTGACTTTTATTCTAGTTGGTGCAGAAATCCCCGGTTGACCTAAATAATACATGCTAGAATCAGTTCTACATTAGTTTGCTCAGATCCTCCTCCAAAACTATATCTACCAAAAATTAAACGGTTCTATTGAGTCTCCATGTTAATCTAGATGATATGAATATGTGGTTATTATCTCCTAAAAGTCAATGGTATAGCCCTTACCGGGGATAATCTTGCTAAAAAGGTGCACCAAATTAGTTTCTGCTAGCGGAAACTTGAGATGAATGATCTTTGCTACTCTTGGGAATTGAATTCGTTCACTTGGCAGGAAAATCATGCTAATAAATCAAATGCTTTTTCTTGACCAATAAAAGAAATCGATGGTTGTAGACAATCAAGATTTGTGATACTCAGGCAAGACATGTGATGCATGGAGAGTGTCGATGTCTTAACTAATCGAGAAATGTAAAAAATGAATAGGATGGTTAAGGACGTGAAACAGTTGCTACGCCTGACATTGGTTAGATTGAATACTTTCTGCTCTTCATTCTTTGGCCTGAGTAACAAGATTTTCCAATGCCTTCGAAGGATCTTCTCATTAATGTATTGAATTTGCTCGCCGGAACATCTTGATGGTTTTCAGGTGCTGGATTGATGCAGGATACGTATTAATGTAGCCTCGTAAAGCAGGGACTTGTCTCGCGGTATTATTCTCTTAGGTGATAATTTGATAACTGAATATATTATCCTGCTTCTTTGAATCACCAATGTTACCATGGTAATTTATTTTTTTGTCCTAGTTGACAATAACAATATTGCAGGACATCATGGACGTTTAAAGACTTCAATTTCACGATATCTTTTCATGGTTTTCAATGCCAATCTGTTTGGCATGATCCATATCTTTGCTCCAGCTTGAATTGGTGCTTCCTGACTCAGGATTTTGCTTGTGTGTATTTCTTAGCTTGTGGGTGTTCTTTGTTATTTTTGTGCTTTCGGTTTATATAAAACCTAACCTTTGATTTTTTTTTCGCCTGTTTAGTCATGTCCTTTTTTTCTTTCTTGTGTTTTCAGAGGTCACTTTTGAACAGCATTACCTCTTTTGCTCTCACTTCTGTTCTACTGTAAATATTGTTGTCAGCAATTTTTCTTCTCTTATTTATGAATGTTTTCCTTGCACATGTTTGCTATTTAGATTTGTGATTTTGATGCTTGAGCATCTGCCCATCATACAGTAGCTTCTTTTTGTCAAGGAAAATGGATTGTTTAAGTTTTTGATGCTAGAGCTTTTAATAGAAAATAGATTGATATCTAACTGAGGGTTTTGGTATTTGTTTATACTGGATTTCCCATTCGAATTATGCAGGGATCTACCCACAGTTGAGATGAAAATGTGATAATATCATGAGTCAGATTCGATATGATAATTGATTTATTCATAGTTCATCTTATCGGTCCGTATCGATGTACCGATCAATATACGATATGTTGAAACATATTGTATCACCTATGCTGTTCTTCTTGTCAGATCGATACATATCGCTCATATCGGATGATATATCACGGTACGAAGAACTATCAGCTTATGAATCATACGAGAAACTTGTAGGCAGACGAAGATCCACCTGGTTCACTAATGGTTATTCCAAATTGTTTCAAGGAGCACGAAGGACGTACGACGTGGGGAGAAGGCAGTCGATGATGTTGGCTTGGCTTCCAACTCAAGGCTGTGAACGGTAGAGGCACGGAAGCAGCACTCGATTCACGGTGCTTCGTTCATGATGGGGGATGACTTGAGACGAGGAAAGAAAGAGCGAAGGCAAAACCTTCGACCGCCCACATCTGTCTTCCACCTCCAATAAAGGTGTCTATCATTCTTCTCCAGCCGGTCTTCACAGCATCTATCTCTGTTTCTGTTTCTTCCCAATAACCATTGGAAACTATATTACTTCGACTGTCTAATTCAAGAAACTCGAATTTTGTGGTTATTCCATAGGTTGTTCACACTTTAAGCTGTGGATTTAGTAGATTTTTATTATCATGATTTGTAATATCGTACCATATCGCTTAGTATATACCGGTCCGATAAAAAATTAATATGAACGGTACATCGATACAACTTAGTCTACTGTATATCAGTATGTTCGATATAATTTGATGCGTACCATGATAGTTAATGGATACATTGATATGGTACGATATTTAAAATTCTACTTATTATATGGATTTTGGATACCAAAATAGAGTGACACATAAACAATCTGATAACAAGTGGTTCGGTAGAATGAGATCTATCCAACCCCAACAATGATGTCCATCCATCTTGACACTTCAATATAAGCTATTATACTATGATTGTAATATTCAATAGTTCGACATATATTTTCACCATCAAATAATGATCAATGAATCAATGTGCTCTCACTTTAATTTGGCGATTGTCTAAGCTCACTATAAAGCAATCTTAGTTCATATAAAGCACACTTAGTTCATATGAGAACATTAGTTTAAATATCATTCTTCCAAATCCTTTTGACTCCGCCTAAGTATAGCGTGCGTGTATGCCCCGACATAGTTTTTGCAGAATGTTGAATCCCTTGTTTTCCTAACACACAACTTTCAATGATATCGAATGGTGGACCAAAGTTAGATCCAAATCTCTAACATGTTGGACAATCAAATTTGAATTAATAATTTTAGTTTTAAAAATTGAATTAAATAAGAGTTTGGATAAAATACGAATCATTTTTATTATTGACAGTTAGATTCAATTGAATTTTATTTCTATGGTAAATTATTCGTCTTGATTAACTGTCTATGCCTGTAAGTATTCAAATCGAATAAAAAATCAAATTAAATCGATTTATTAATAGTTTGGTCTCGAAGACTATAAACAATTTTGGTTTGGGGGTACTTTTCTTTAGTTCGGTTAATCCGTTCAGATCGAATCGAACTAATGTTAATTAAAAAATTATCGATTCGATGGACTTCATTATCTTCGATCCTTAACCGATTCAACCTTTGACATGAGCCAAATTTCAACGCATCAATTTCACAAATGACATGAGCCAAATTTCATAAATCTTGTTGTGTTGGTCGACAAATATATTACTTGGTTAATCCAATCGATTTTAGTATTTTTTATACTTATCTAGTATAAAATAATGAGCCCATCTCATACGATGATGTTCTTGTAGTTAGACCTTCTTAGTATCCTAATTCCTAGACTTAAAAAGTTTACATTGGAATCCATATATTTATGAAAGTGAAATATTTAGTTTCATTTATCTTAATATCATCGGTTTTACCGACGAAAATATAAAAACAAAAGGTAAAAAATTATTTTTAATGTTCTAATTAGTGGAGGCGGATGGAGTCGATGGTAGCAGATGATAGTGTTTTTATGTATGAGAGGAATGATGATGAGAGATGAGGGCCGGCATCAATGTTGGTGTAGTTATCGCGTAGCAAAAGGCTCGTTTGGTATTTGCATCGGTAACGACACATATGCATAGCATGCTACTATGCATCAAGTGATGTTGCTTTGGAAAACGTAGTTGTCGAGCGGGACTGTTTTGCATTTGTGTCAATGTCAACACAAATATAGAACGATCTTTACTTCTTGTCGTTGCTCTCCTCGTCCACGATAGTTATTGTCGGTGTCACCGTCCGCCACCACTAAATAGAACATTAAAATTATCTTTTTATCTTTTTATTTTTATATTTTTATTTATAAAACCGATAATGTTAGAATAAATAGAGCTAGATATTTTACTTTTATAACTAGTTATAAGGATTTTATCATACATTTTTTAAGTTTAAAAATCAAGATATAAAAAGGTTTAACTTCCGGAGGGGGATAATATATAAATTTTTTACCAACGGCAGGAAGCTAGTGATTGACGTACCATCAAATGTATTAATTAGATAGTGGCTTCAACCATTCAGATCGTGATTTGCGCAATGATATGAAACAATTATTGATTAGATATTTTTCT